CCCGCAGCTCGCTTCAGTTTAGGGGTTTAGGGGTTTATGGGTTTAGGGGTTTAGGGGTTTAGGGTTTTAGGTTTAGGGTTTAGGGTTTAGGGGTTTAGGGTTTAGGGGTTTAGGGTTTAGGGTTTAGGCAGTCAGTCTGTCCTCAAGGGGGGCTGGTTCCTCTCCTCGGAGCATAGACGAGAAGAACCTCAAGGACCATATCACCCCTTCATAGTACATCATATTAGTATTGAGCAGTATATACAGTATGGGGACTTTGTAATGCTCCTATACATCATATTAATATTGAACAGTTTATAAAGTATGGGGACTTTTTGAAATACTCCTATTCATTACTCGGGAATTGAGCTGTCGACTATATATTCTGGTTCATTTGGTCTCCGAGGTAGTTAAGGGGCCCAGTCCACAAGAAGCACGAAAGCCGCCAACCGTCTCAGCGCTTCACCGCCTATGTGATCGAGATTAACGACTTCGGCAAGGTTTGCGAGGCGTCGGCTTTTGATAACGAAACCCGATTCTGGTCATTCAGGCCCCTCGCAGAGGAAAGGTTTGAGGGTGTGAGCTGTTCAAGGGATTTTGTTTGCAGTTTTTAGGATCTTACGATTCGGCACCCAGACCTCAAGAGCCTTGGGTGCTAAGTAGGTGTAGGGCTATTAGGTTTCATAATGCCCTAAACCCTAAACCCTACACCCGGTCTCAAGAACTTGCTTACCTCAGCTCCCTGGCAGGTTTTGTGAAGCAAGTTCAGCTCAGAGGGGCGGACGGGAGTACCCAGAGACTCGAAAACACACCCCATTAATCAAGGCTTATACCTTAAATCATAGGCCCGTCCTTAATGGGATAAACGGTATATTCTTTAGTTCGGGTTTTCGAGTTGCTGGGTAGATATCCAACAATCCGGGCTAGAAGACGCAATCTTTAAGCCATATCTGCATCGAGCAACCTGAGTCCCATAGTCCGCGTAGGCTTGGGAAGAGTAGCCACGTATGAAAAAGAGGTAGACCCCTGTCTCGTCAGACCCTAAACCCTAAACCC